GGACTTAGGTAAGTCTGTCTGGGAGTGCATGACTGATACGGCAAGTCTCAAATTTCAGAAAATGTTAAATATTTCTAACTAATAAAAAAGGTTACAATGGTGAATTCTTACATTTCCTCTAATTTTAGAGCCAGAAAAATCTCACACTGAGTAAGAATGACCTCAAGGTAAGATCTGGTTAAGCTTTCCTTTTTCAACCTTAGTCATTTCCATTAGTTGTTATTTCTTATTACTTCACTTTTCCTGTCTCATTACTATTAAAAACCATGTAATTTGCTTTGTATACTAAAATATTCAACTATTGGTTCTATATTCACATGAAGAATTAGTTACATTGTTAAAATTATAATTAATTTTTTAAAGTGGCACCAAGAAATATGTTACCCTAAAGAAGTTGATTCGAACAAAATGATAAACGATCTCTTCTGACCCATTTCAGTTCCTCTTCAGACAATCTGAATAAAGTAGAAAATGGAGCTAGCTGCTTTCTGACCACTAGGTGGGGAAACAATACAATTTAAAATGCAGTATAACTTTGGCTTCAACTACTTTTTAAAAAATATGTTTATTATTTTAAATTCTCACCTGCCTCCAATTCTTTACATTCTTAAGGCATTCTGACCTGAATGATATAATTACAAGTGACTTCTGGGAAGTAGGCAGGTAATAAAGGCCATGTGATCTCCTGAAATTCTTCCTTTGATCCACATTAGAAGTTCTTTTCCTTGCCTTAAGCAACACAGACTCCACACCCTGGAGGAAATGTGAACCTTATCAGTCATTTATGTCTCTGGGGAGCTGGTCCCTCACCTGAGCACTGGTTCTTGTTCTAATCCTTTGTTCTAGGAATGCACTTTCTCTGTGATCCTAACAATGTCTGACTTGAAGCATGGAGTATATGCCCATGACAAACATATATTTATAACTCAGAGCTCCCTTCCAGCTCTTCACTTCTTACATCTAATTGCCTCCTCAACATCTCTGCCTGCATGCACACGACAAGCTTTGCACAGCTGTGCTGTCCCAGTTTCCCCCACGCCCAAACTTGCTCACCTTCAGTCAATCTCATTCAGTTATGGACACATCATCCTTGGAGTTACTCAGGCTCAGAACCCTGGAGCTGCCCTGATTCCTCTTTTCCTTTCATACCCTAAGTCCAGATTCTGTGGTCTCTACCTTCAAAGTACATCCCGAATCTGGACCCCTGTCATCATCTCCACTGCACCATCCTGGTTAGAATATCTTGCCTGCATTTCTGTAGGATCTTCCTAACTGGTTTTCCTTCTTCAACACTTGCCTACTACCTTTTTTCAGACAGCGATTAAGGTAATACTCACAAAAGATGAGCCTGAAAACGAAAACATCACTGCTCCCCTCAAGCGCTTCAGCGTTTCCCACGTCACTTAGGATAGGAGCCATCATCTCTATCACGACCCTCAGGGCCTGCATGAGTCTGTCTCTACTACACCTTCCATCTACTCCAGCCTCAGTTACCTCTTTCCGAGCCCCTAGACATTCGAGGACTTTGTTCTGTCTGTCCTCTCTGACTAGAATGGTCTTCCCCCAGATACCTGCATGCTTTAACGCCTTCACTTCCTTGAGTCTTTTCTCAAGTATAACTTCTTATAAGGGGAGCGACCCTCATCTCTCTTTTTAAAACTGCAACACACTGTCCCCAGCACTTACACTGCAGCACCTAACCTGTTCTACTTCATCCCATATCACTTGATATTTCCTAACATTCTATACTCTTTACTAGTTTATTATTTTTTACCTTTTGTCTCTTGCCCCCTGCTTTGTGTGAGTAGGGGTCTTTATTTTGTTCACTGATATTTCCTGAACTTCTATTACAAAGAAACAATGTGGTGCCTCACAAAATAATTACTAGAAGGGTGGTGGTGCAAAGAAAAAGCACAGAGACACCCATCTTTCACAATTTTACTTAAAGATCATTCCATAAATTTCCCTCTCACATGAAATATAAAATGTGAGCCTGACTATCAAGACCCATTTTACTTTCATTTCCTCTTTGTGTCTTTTCTAGCTTCCCCTACTTGGGGGGAAAGTTTCCAACTTAGATATTTCTTCATTTTGGATTTTACTTGGGCTCTCTGATGGGAGCCTGAAAGTCTTACACCATATACCACATTTTTACTTTTGAAAAAATAATCATCTTACAGATATCCCTTCGCTTTCATCTTCATCTGACACTTAACTTTTAGATGTGACAGTTCCAGCGAATCTAGCCAATGTAACATCTAAATTCTTGTTTCTCAGCATCTTTTTTTCTTCTGAGAGTATACATTTTGAGGAGTTGGTAACTCTTAAATGAATCAGACTTTTGAATTAGGAGCCCTTAATAAAATGGAAATAAGGATGAAGTTAAGTTGATTACAACTGGTGGATTTTGCTAATTTCTGATGTAAGCAATGTTACGAGCAAAAATTTGAACTTGGTTGGTTGGTGGACTCTTTTCGACTTTGTAAGGACTTCCTACAAATGTGGGAAATTGACCAGCATCGGTAGGACACAGTAGTCCAGGCTACTGGTCTCTTTGAAATTCTCTTCCTTCTACAGCTTTGTATTCCTCACCTTATCACGGTGGATTCTAGGGGGCAGGTTTACAGAAAAGAGTTAACATAGCAGGCCTGAAGCTGCTATTTTAAAAAGAATCTTCTACCAAGATAGTCTGTTGGCTTATATCTGGGAACTCAGCTTCTAAAGCATTCCTTGAACTGATAGGAAAAGTTGCCTAATGATAAGAGTGCTTTGCTGTGCCTAGACTGTATAAACAACACGACTTATGGTGAACACCTGCTTTACTTCTAGAAGTCTGGTATTTTGGTAGTTGCTAGGCTGGCTCAGAGATTAAAGCGTCTGCCTGCATCTGCCTGCAACGTGGGAGACCTAGGTTTGATCCCTGGGTCGGAAAGATTCCCTGGAGAAGGAAACGGCACCCCACTCCAGTGTTCTTGCCTGGAGAATCCCAGGGACGGAGGAGCCTGGTGGGCTACAGTCCACAGGGTCGCAAAGAGTTGGACACGACTGAGAGACCTCACTTTCAGGCAGAAGGTGCCTAGGTGGCAGCTTTCAATAGAAAGATGACTCTAATAGGCTTCCCTGGGAAGCAATACCACACATGTATTGCATTTTTGTAGCTAGAGAAAGAAGCAGTTTTACTCTGTCCACTGCCAAGTTTAAAAGAAGAGTATGACTAGGATAAATCTTAGCCACGAGTACTCCTGTATACTAAGTCTTGTGTGTCCTTGCAGTTGATCAACAAACCTAGGACTGGTCTTGGGGACTCTCAAACAACAGGAATAGTGATAAACCCTTCTCCATGACTTCTTCAGTCAAAGAATTACCAATCTTTTTGCTTTATAAATTATCAGGAATTCATACTCAAGGTATTTACTGAAATTTCTCACTAGAATTACACAGGATCCAGAAGCCTAATTAAAGCCAGCTGCTGGGATAGGGTCATATAATAAGCCTCAAAAGTACTGAGATCAAAATCTAATGGATTAAATTCTTCAGAGTAGGATAAAGACACAGGATTTAATACATGTGAAAAGAAACTCATTTATACAGAAATCAAGTTTATATAAGAGCACATATTAGTTATTTTAATTAAGTTAATATTTATTTGACACTCATACGTTAGTAGGCAAATGGCTCATATTCTCCTTTGGTAGCTGGTTGTCATAAACTAGGGTTCATAAACTTAAATGCATGGAAGGGCATGTGGTTAACATAAATGTAAAATGCAGGTTTTATGCAAGATAGTAAACTGCTCTAGTATCTCCTAGTCAGTTGGAGTTCTGCTTTTAACCAATAGCGCCCCCTCACCCCCCGTCAAAGCCTAATAAAGTGAAACGTAGCACTGGCTACCCATGACAAGTGTGTTTTCAACTCCTGCTCTAAATTGTAATTATCAGCATTGAAGGAAAGCTGTCAATCAGACATGATATTAATTGAGTATATCATAAGGATTATGGATATTAAGTACTTTAGATGTAATGAACATCAATCTGGTAGGGGATTGAAGTAAAGGAAAAACAACTGTAGCTAAATATTTTTGGCATATTTATGGTAAAGGATAATCATGCAAAACAATTTTTTAGAAGAAGAAATAGAAGATCTACTCTGACTTACAAACGGAGTCTATGCTTGCCATGTCTATTTCTCTTTAAAACAATATTTCATTCTATCCGAGTCTTCTGCTTGCTTTTTTCTCAATCAGTTCTTCTGGTAAATCACTGGTAAAGAGCCTGTGCATAACAACCTACACAGTTCTGACATTTCTAAAAAGTACCATCTAAGAAAAGTGAGAGTGGGCTTGAATAAGTTTCCTATTTTTTTAATACACAGTCAGAAATCTGATTACTCAGAAAAAACCTCCATTTTTTTTTTTACTTTCAGGAGGTTATTTAGCAGAGTGGTTAAAAGTATACAGCGGACTCAGACTGCTACTGACAGTCTTCTATTGAGAGTTACTTAGCCTTTGTAAAGTTCCATTTACTTATCTGTGAAATGACAAAAACACTATCCACTCAATGAAGTCATAAGGATTATATATGTAAAGTGCACATTACAGGCAGCCAATAAAATATGGTGGTGGTGATGATAGTGGTGGTGGTATTGGTAATGATGGTGGTGATGCAGTGATGCTAATGGTAGTGGTGGTAGAAATGATGATGAAGGTTAACGAGATGGTGGTTGTGTTGATCTGAAGAATGTTTCAGAACTTCTAAAAAGGCTCTAGAAATTTTCCTCAAATGAATTCTTAAGGAAAAAACATTGCCAAAACAGATAAATAAGAATTGCTAAAGGATATGGAAGTGTGAGAGCAGCTTGCTAAGCCATCTCTTCTCCCTGCTAACTGACCACTTTTGTGTTTCCCCCAGAGTCACATGGAACCCTCAGCACTCAGCCAAGCATAGTTTGAAAATTCCTGACAAGAGATTGACAAAGTAATGGCAAAAGAATCTTTTGCTTACTTGAGGTCTAAGGGAGGTTTAATGTTTCTGGGAGGTAGACTTGGGGCTGGCAATTGTGTTGGGTGAGACGCTGGCAATGGTGGTTGGCTGGCTGGATGGGATGGTGGAGGTGGTGGTAGGGCAGTTGTTGAGAAAGCCATTGGTCCTTTGTTGGTACCTAAGAAACAAAACAAAAAACACTGTGAATTAAGACAAATCTTCATCATGCAAGAACTGACCATTCCAAGTATACAGAAATGAGGATTTTAAACATAATAATGAAGGAAATGCATCGTAGGTTGAATTAGTGCTTCAAAGAATTCAATACTCCCAGTATCATGGGACATAGATTTTTAAATGTTCCATTTCTCCCCACCCCCCACCACCCAGTTTACTGATGTATAATTGACAAAATTTTAAGATATTTAAACTGTATAATGTGATGATTTGATGCACAAATGTGAAAGGTTTCTTCCCACCAAGTTAATTAATATATCCATCACTTCACATATTTGTCTTTTTGGGAAGAGTGGCAAAAATACTTAAGTTCTACTCTTTTAACAAATTTCAATTATACAATATAGTGTTATCAACTGTAGTCATCATGTTCTGTTTTAGATCCTCAGACTTTATACATCTTATAAATGAAAGTTTCTACCCTTTGACCAAACACCTCTCCTTTCCCCCCCAAACTCAGCCCCTGGCAACCACTTTTCTACTGCTTAAATATTATACAAAAAGTTTCCTAATTCCTTTTAGATATTTTTGCCTCTCTTATTAGAAATACTACCCTCTCAGGAGCCTGGGTATAGTCCATGGGGTTGCAAAGAGTCAGACACGACTGAGCAACTTCACTTCACTTCACTCTCTCCTCAATATCATAGTCCTCTTGCAGTTTTAAAAATTGTCCAGTCCCTACACCCCTGACTTGCGACATTCCTTGACAGGAGAAAATCTCACAGGATTAGCTCATGTTTTCTATTGCCAGCCTTTTTTTGGGGGGTTGAGGTAGGAATAATTAGTTCCCTTGTAAATCTGATAAATGAAAATTTCTGATTACATTTATATATTAGAAATATTTTTGTCATAAAGTTAAAGTTTTCTGATATTTAAGGCTAGATACTTTTTCTTGAATTCAATTAGCAAATTTTTTCATGGATAATTAGTCACTAGAGTTACATTTAGGAAGCCCTTCCCTGAGAACGCATAATTATTAACCTTATATTTTCTCCTATTTCTCATTGGATTCATTTTTTTACATTTAACTTTTAAAAGTTATTAGTAATTTATTTTGGAATTAGATGTGAAATCAGGATCTATTTTTATGGGTTTATTATTGTTCTTAAATCATTTACCAATGTCCCAGGACCATTTGTCTAATAAGGTATTATTAGTTACCTCTTCTTTCATAAAACAAATATTAAAAATCCCAGTGAATGAGACAGATGGAAATGCAGATTGTTATTTTAATTTATAAATAATAGGGTTTGATAGAATCATAAGTGACTTGAAAGCTTTACACAAAGAGAGTAAGCCACTGTGAATGGATATTAATAAACCATTGGTGGTTTAGTCACTAAGTCGAGTCTGATTCTTGTAACCCCATGGACTATAGCCTGCCAGGCTCCTCTGCCCATGGGATTTCCAAGGAAAGAATACTGCAGTGAGTAGCCATTTCCTTCTCCAGGGTATCTTCCTAACTCAGGGATCAAACTTGGGTCTCTTGCACTGCAAGCAGATTTTTTACCGACTGAGCTACCAGGGAAGCCCAAAGAGAAGAAAAATTATTTATTAGTCATTTGTGACATCTTTTCACGGAAAATGTTTTGACAAGTGGGAGACTCCACCACATGAGTGGTCTAAGGCCTGAAGGTGAGAAATCATAGACATGTTTGGGGAATGCTGAACTGGGTAGACTAGAACCCAACCTACCCTGAACTCCGTGGCTACAGGTTTGTCTTTACATAGGATTAGGAGGCTTTCTGATGGGGCCACTGGGGCAACCCCCTACTCTTCTTCTTGCCAGGCATCTACTTTCCCTTCCCTGGTTATATTAACTTGAGCTATTCAGAAAATGGTGTGATTGCCTGGACTTGTAACTCCAAGGGGTCCTCAGGGAACTATGACAGCCATCTCACCACCACCCCAGAGGGTGTGACTGAGAGTGCAGTCAAAGCAGAGGAAAGGAGAGCTGGGAGATGGAGAAGAATTGGATGGGTTGTTTTTTCAAATTACTTTTGGAAAATTGTTAGAGATAATCTGACAGGCTAAATGAGAAACTAAACTATAAGCGTCTTGTTCTTCTTTAAGCTTGAGGGAACACACACTAAAGTATTCCTATGTTACACTAGTATTTAGCAATGGGATATTTTGCTTTGCAAAATCTATGGTCACTTTCAAATACTACAAGGAATATATTTGCATGCATACAAAATAATACTAAGGAAAAGCATCTTAGTTTTTCAGGGAGGCAAAAAACAGGTAGACTGGCCTTACTGTAATAGGATTGGCTCTAAAATCTTAATGTAAACTTCAAAAATTGTGCCAAAATAGAATTAATAATATTGGAATTCTCAAAAGCAAAAATCTAGACTGATGTGATGGAAGAAAAGAATGGATATTGAATTATAATAAAGCAAATGAAGAAGAAATGGAAACAATAAATCTATAGGAAATTTCTGAGATTAATTATAACATTAATAAATCATTTTTTGCCTAGAAACCATTTTAGGTATTTTGCATATGGAATTTTATTTAACTTATATACACTTGTTCAGGTATTTGTTATCTAGTTTCCATTTGATAAGTAAGAAAACTACCCAACTTCAGAGAGTCAGTAAGCAACAGAGGTGGAATTCAAACTTAGCCAGAATATAAAACTTAGTTGATATCTTCTGATGTTTGTGCCCTTTCTGCTATGTTCTGTCCATGCTCTTAAAGTCATTAGATGGAAATTATTGATAAGTTCAAATGGACATACTAACACATTTTCATAAGTCCAGCTTTTCTAATTAGTGCTTTGCCTCTTAGGGAAATATTGAACAACTGTTTTCAGCTTTATTAGGGCAATATTAACTCTGCAGACTATGAAATAATCTATAAAGGAGTTCAAATAAAGTGGTGTTTTGGATATATGCTTCAGAATTTGACAATCAGATAGCAGGAAAGTGGACATCCAGGAGTTAGTGGAAAATGGGCCCCCAAAGATGGATGACTGATACAGGTTGACAGGGAAAAAAATGTCTGATGATTTGGAATTGAGGAGTTTGAAATAAAACACGAAAAGATCTAAAATATATGAAATAAAACAAAGGGAAAGAACAGGTTTAGAATTTAGTTGGTATCAAGAATTATAAATGTAAAAGTTGAGAGTTAACAACCGAAACTCTGATCAATCCATCTATTTATCTATATATTTGGGTCTTATCCCTCAAGTCTCAGGGATATCAATATTGCCTAGGTAGTCTATGGCTTTACAAGAATTGAAAAGACCATTTGGAATTTCTTCCTCAGAGAAATGTGCAAGGATATGGGCCTCATAGTAGCAGACAGAGCAAGACTACTGGACAGTACAGGATAGCTCAGTTGCAGTGAGCTAAGCAGGTAAATTTATATCCTACTGCCCACTCTCATCCCAAGTCAGATTCAGGAGTTATGTTCCTGGGCTTTTAATAGGAGCTTAAGGCTTAAGGTCTTAAGTATGTTTTCACCCTGCTTATTTAACTTATATGCAGAGCACATCATGAGAAATGCTGGGCTGCAGGAAGCACAAGCTGGAATCAAGATTGCTAGAAGAAATATCCATGACCTCAGATATGCAGAGGACACCACCCTTATGGCAGAAAGTGAAGAAGAACTAAAGAGCCTCTTGATGAAAGTGAAAGAGGAGAGTGGAAAAAGTTGGCTTAAAGCTCAACATTCAGAAAACTAAGATCATGGCATCCGGTCCCATCACTTCATGGCAAAAATAGATGGGGAAACAATGGAAACAGTGACAGACTTTATTTTCTTGGGCTCCAAAATCACTGCAGATGGTGACTGCAGCCATGAAATTAAAAGACGCTTGCTCCTTGGAAGAAAAGTTATGACGAACATAGACAGCATATTAAAAAGCAAAGACATTACTTTGCCAGCAAAGGTCTGTCTGGTCAAAGCTATGGTTTTTCCAGTAGTCATGTATGGATGTGAGAGTTGGACTATAAAGAAAGCTGAGCGCCAAAGAACTGATGCTTTTGAACTGTGGTGTTGGAGAAGACTCTTGAGAGTCCCTTGGACTGCAAGGAGATCCAACCAGTCCATCCTAAAGGAAATACCATCCTGAATATTCATTGGAAGGACTGATGCGGAAGCTAAAACTCCAATACTTTGGCCACCTGATGTGAAGAACTGACTTATTTGAAAAGACCCTGATGCTGGGAAAGATTGAAGATGGGAGGAGAAGGAGACGACAGAGGATGAGATGGTTGGATGGCATCACCAGCTCAATGGACATGAGTTTGAGTAAGCTGTGAGAGTTGGTGATGGACAGGGAGACCTGGCGTGCTCTCATGTGGTCGCAAAGAGTTGGACATGACTGAGTGACTGCATTGAACTGAACTAAGGCTTCAAGTAGATGCTGGCCATTTTGCTAAAAAGCTGAATAGGAGTTTGACTGACACCTAGTTGTAACACTTGAACTTCCACAAGAGATGTAATAAATTTGATAATAAAATTCTTAACCATAATTTTAAAGTATGACTAATAACAAAAGAGAACTGACTGTACTTACAATAGGGAGCAGTTCATACCGGTTACAAAAAAATGGGAAGAGTTGTGAATGAAGGGGAGAGAAATTGCAAAACTGTCTAGAACATGAAAACAGCTCTCAATAATCTGGGAAGTTAACAACCTCTGATTTGAATTTTTCATCTTTTTAATTTTGGGAGCTTAGTAGAGGTCTTACACAAGTCATGTGCTCTGACACATGGATGGAACACTCGGGCTATTTTACTAGGAGGAAATGCCTGGCAGGAGCCTCCACAAGTCTGCAAGCAGTGCCCAGGGATTATCTGCCTGAACCTTAAGGGTGGTCCCAGGTTCACTGAAACACCAGCTACCCAAAGTGGTGACATTATGTCAGGATCTAAAACTATAAATGGAAAAGCAGAATTGAGGGGGGAGGGAAGAATGAGTGAGGAG